GTTGAAAATTTGCGAATGTTTGGTGCACAAATATATTGTAGGGAAATATAATAATAGCATTTACTTAGCCTAACAATACTTCTTCCTTAACCTATTGAACCATGAACAATCATAAAACACATGAAAACATGGTAAAATACATACATGTATTGTATATACATACATGTTATAGTTTAATAACAAATAATGAACAAACAAAACACTCACCACTCGTAAGGTTAGGCAGACGAATTCTGATGACTTATGATGATGATGATGACAATGACGATGATGATGGTGATGATAGCCATGCAGTTACTGATGACAGTTGAATGGAGGTGATTACATGCAGTGGAACTGCATGGCATGATGAGTCTAGTGTGTGGATTCTAACTCTTCACTGCCAGCGTCACTGCTGGTAATAGGCATGGATCATCAACATCGCTAGAGTCAGAGTTAGCAACGGGAGTAGTGGCAGGCTTCCTTGTGAAGAACATTGTGATGGGCAACTGAGACCATTTCTACTTTATGTCTACAAACAGAGTTTTGTAGGGAATTATCCTCCCATCAGTGTCATTCATCACCTTCAAAGCCCTCAACATCGATGGGTCTATGTCATTAAAAAATTGTTTGAGCTGTGCTGTCATTCTCATTGCTTACTCTAGTTTTTCAAGGGTAAGGAAGCATAAATACGATTGGGCGGCTGGGCATTCGCGAATGTTTGAAGCTTGCGAAAGTGGAACTTGTGTATGTGAAGGGCCACCTGTATGCAGAATCTAACTCAAAATGGGAGTTGCCACAGTTGCTTTTTCTTGATGACTCTGTGCTTTTGGAAGATTCTGAAGAGAAGTTGCAAGGGTTAGTGGACGTATTTGAGAGGATATGTAAAGGAAGGAAATTAAAAGTGAATATAGGAAAGAGCAAGGTGATGAGGATAACAATCAGTTTAAGTAATGAAACATTGGATGTCAGATTGGAAGTGAATGCGTTCATATATTTGGGAGTGGACTTGTCGGCAGATGGGTCTATGAAAGACGAGGTAAACCATAGAACTGATGAAGGGAAAAAGGTGGATGGTGCACTGATGAGTGTGTGGAGGTGAAAAGGGGAATATTTGAGAGTATTGTGATACCAACACACTTATATGGGTGTGCAGTGTTGTAGCAAGGAAGAGGCTGTAGGGAGTGGAAATGACATGAGGGCAATGTGTAGCTTATGCAGAGGATTTATAGCTTGAAGATTCTAAGTTGTGGGGTTATTAAAAGTATTATCCAGAGGGCTGAGGAGGGGTTGTATAGATAGTTTGGACATTTAGGGAGGATGGAGGGCGTATAAATCTGTAGTGGAGGGAAGGATGGGTAGGGGTTCATCTTAGGAAAGGTTGAAGGGAGAGGATGAAGGAGGCTTTGTGTGTGATTGGCTTGAACATCTACCAGCCATGTGTGAGTGTATTAGGAGTGAGCAGAGGAAAATGTTTGTTTTTGGAACTTGATGTGCTGTTGGAGTGCGAGCAATGTAACATTTATGAAGGGATTCAGGGAAACCAGTTAGCCAGACTTGAGTCCAGAAGATGGGAAGTGTTGTCTTCACTGGACTTGAAACCTGAAGGTGGGAAGTGCAGTGTTTTCACTCTAAAGGAGAGATACTGAAGTTTAGGTCACCTGGACTGTTATGTTATCACATTTCTGAGAAGATAGTGATTGAATGAATGATGGTGAAAGTGTTTCTTCTTTTTTCGGGTCACTATATCTCGGTGGAAGGTGATCAATGGATTAACAAATAATAATGTATTAGTCTGCATTCACCAATTTATAAAAAAATTCTGTGTCTGTTTTAATGGATCTAGAATTATTTTGTTGTCAATACAAAATTGACCCTAATTTTCTCAAATAATGGATTGATTTCATTAACCCTTTCAGGGTTTTTGACGTACTAGTACGCCTAAATTCTAGCACCCTCAAATCTAGTGAGAGAAAGCTGGTAGGCCTACATATGAAAGAATGGGTCTATGTGGTCAGTGTGCACAGTATAAAAAAATCCTGCAGCACACAGTGTGTAATGAGAAAAAAAAAAAAACTTTGACCGTGTTTTTGGATTAAAACAGCGACTTTGCACTGTATTTTTGTATGGCATTTATTGTTGTATTCTAGTTTTCTTGGTCTCATTTTATAGAATGGAAGATATATTACAGAAATTGAGATGATTTTGACTGATTTTACAATGAAAAGTACCTTGAAATTGAGCTCAAAGTAGCAGAAATGTTAAATTTTTACCAAAGTTCAAAAGTAAACAAATCATGCTAAGCGTCCAATACACATCAACTGGTGAGTCTAATATTCTTTCACAAGTGCGCCAATATTATTTATACCATTTTTACACTAATGCAGTAGTCTGCATAACAGTAAATCTTCTATTTTTTGTGAGAATAAAAATTCGAAGTGGAAAGCAAAAGAATGTAAGAGGGGCGTGGGGACATGACTAATGAACAGAGGAAATGTTATTTTAGTGCCAGGAATGTCTTTCTTGTTTATTCTGGACCCTATTTGGAAATTGGCATCTTTTGAAATTTGTGTGAAATTGGCAAAATTGCTAAATTCTGACCACTGTATTAGATAGTTGAAATCAGTAAATGGGTGGTTTCTTGTACTCATTTGATATAAAAAATGGAGTTCTAGCGAAATAGTTATGATTTTTGTCAACTAGTAAACTGGAATTGGCCGAAAATAGGACTCAAAGTGGGCAAAATCACCGATACATAAACATCGTCGAGACTGCTAACTTTGCGAAAGCATAATTCTGTAAGTTTTCCATCAAATTTCATACTTTTGGTGTCATTATGATTGGGAAAAGATTCCCTATCTTTTCATAAGAAATAATTTTTTTTTTTTTAAATTTAGGCGACCCTGAGAACAAGTCTGGGAGAGGGCCTGGGGACCCTGAAAGAGTTAATGATAGCATGTAAATCAGAGGCACTGAATACATGTACAGAAGAGCCTCACCTATAGACCAACCTCTTTTTTGTTTACGTTTTTGTTGGCTTCAAATTGAGCCATTGTTCAGCCATGGAACAATGACTCAGTTGAAAGCCAACAACAAAAATGTGAACACCAAAAATAGGCTCTGTATAAACGGGGCCATTCTGTAACTTTATAAGTTTTTTAGGGCAATTTATGGTGTTTAACTGAGAGCTTAACTGAGAAATAACAAGTGATGATGTGGGAGTCACATCCTTGTACTTGACTTCTGGAGGTGTTGTTAAACTGGTTTGTTCATAAAGAAAAGATGGAGCAGAATAGGTTCACCAAGATGGTGTATAAGTGTGATGGATGCAAGGAGGGACAGGGAACATCCCAGGAAGGCTTGAAGAAACAAACAAACAAACAAATTTTATTTCTTTGCAAAGGTTACAGTGTGTGATTACATTTTATATTGTTGTTAAGTGCAAAGAAAACCTCTAACATGCTGGGGCATTTTGGGCAGACTAACCCTAATGTTTACAGACTACTTAAAACTAGACAGGTTAAAGAGTGGTGAATTTTAATTATTTTACCTTATTACAGTGGACCCCCGGTTTACGATCAGCTCCCAATGCGACCAATTATATAAGTGTATTTATGTAAGTGCGGTTGTACATGTATGTTTGGGGGTCTGAAATGGACTAATCTAATTCACAATATTCCTTATGGGAACAAATTCGTTCAGTAATGGCACCTGAACATACTTCTGGAATGAAATAATATTGTAAACCGGGGTCCACTGTACTACAGTGAGGTAGATGAAGGTTTTGAGAAGTAGGAGCTTGAGTATCTGGCAGGCATTTGTAAAGATATTTGATCCGAGTGAATAAAGAAAATGAATTTTTAGGATTTGACCCACTATTGGAGTGTGAGAAAGGTATTTATGAAGGGATTCAGGATTTAGACAGAGTTCGGTCCTGGAGTTGGGATGTACAGTGCATACAGTCTGAAGCAAGGGTGGGGATTCTCTGGTTCATAGGTCATTTAAATTGCTGCACGATATCCACACACTCTTGTCAAAACAGTGTATTTCAGTTGTACTATTATACTATTGTAAAAATTGTAATATTTTTTACTACCTCTCTACCTATTTTTTATGTAATAATGCATAATTAAAATTTACCACTCCGTAACCTATGTCTTGTTTTAAATAGTGCGTAAGCATTAGGATTAGTCTGCCCGAAATACTCGTGCACATTAGTAGCTTTCTTTGTGCTTAACAATACTTTATTACATGTAAACTACAGTTTGTATACTACACAAAGATTTGATATTGATACATATTTCCTTTTTTGGGACACCTTAGCTGGGTGAGAAACAGTTGTGATAAAAAATGTAATGATGAAGTTAAAAGGTTGAAACAGATTTTGTCAGCAGTTTAACCAGAGTGTAAGGGAAATAAAATCAGAGCACTTTTATGATGTTTCTTAATAATGTAATGAGAGATAACAGAAGTGCTTTGAATTTATTTTCTTTGTTTTTGAAGTTTTTTAACTTCAAAAAGATATGGTGACAAAAAAAAAAAAAAAAAAAAAAAAAAAAAGACACATTCACCATTATTTATTGTAGATAGATAGTATTAAATACTGACACTTCACATCATTATGCACCTTATATATATACTCATGTACTCTCTACTCAGGTAGATCTGTTTGTGACTTAAAGCCCACTGTGTGGGTGAAACATAGTATATAAAGGATCACATTATACTGCATTTGTGTCTTTACCATCATTCATTCATTAGCCATCTTGTAGTTTTTTCACCTTAATGGCTGCATCCCATCAAAGCAAGGTGATCCAAATAAGAAACACACTCACCATCATTCATTCTATCACTGTCCTTCCAGAGGTGTATCAGTATCACCATTCAGATTACCCTCTGACTGCAACATCTCTACCCCTCCTTAAAGTACAGGCACTGATTTTCCCACCTTCTGTACCTATATTCATATTCTGATATCACTAGTTCCTTGTAATTTGTTCCACAGTTTGTAATATTTTCAGAATCTGTCTTCAAAAACTATAAACATAGAGATTACTAGTGAGTGGGTTGACAAGACTGCTGAGAGGGTGTCCCTGCTGGTACAATCACTGGCAAAACTGGTGACGTACTCTCACTGGAGAGTACGACTTAGTCTGGTGCACTGGGCTCAACAGCTCATCTGCAACTGTTGCAGGTACAGTGTTTAGCATCTTAAGCATTAATCTAATTTGGTAGGATGGTCATTGGATTATTTTGTCATGACTATTTTGAAGTCTTTACCATATTGATTTTCAGTAGATCTTCTTTTGTTATTTTCTACTTAATTCCTCCACACTTGCTATGTCTCTTAGAATTCATTTATATCTTTTTGGAAACACTGTAATACATCATTGGATAATCATTATTTTTTCTTTCTTTCTTTTCAACAAGCCGGTCATATCCCATTAAGGCAGGGTGACCCAAAAAGAAAAACAAAGTTTTTCTTTTTCATTTTTCTTTTCAACAAGGTGACCCAAAAAGAAAAACAAAGTTTTTCTTTTTAAATTTAGTAATTTATACAGGTTACTAGCCCATTGCTCCTGACATTTTAATCATCTCTTATGACATGCATGGCTTACAGAGGAAGAATTCTGTTTCACTTCTTCATGGAGAATAGTCAGTATATTTTGTAAGTAAAGTTATGGAGATAAGTGGTATAAAATATCGACTAGATGGGATGATAGATGTTTGACCCACTGTCTGGGTGAAATGTGGTGTCTATTTTTCCAAGTAAAGTTATGTTGATTTTCCATGGCATTACATAAATTTTACCTCATACCTTTGGCAAGGTGGGGGGACATGGAAAAGTCCATTGTTATGCAATGTATTTTGGGCAACCTTAAGATTAAACGTACAGTACACTAGTTATAAAAAAGTATACTGTATTACCTAAGTGTACAGTAAACCCTCATATTACATGACCTTTATACAATTTAGTTACTACACAACCCTAAAGTGTAATCTAAGGATTAAGTAACATTAGTGCAGTGGACCCTCGGTTATCGGTCGTAATCTGTTCCAGAAGGTCGGCCGATAACCGAAATGGCCGAAAACTGAATTAATATTTCCCATAAGAATTAATGCAAATACATTTAATCCGTTCCAGACGAAAATACTCACAAAAAAATAATTCTTTTAACAATTATGTAAGTTTACATACCTTTATTGAAGGCTAATGCTGGCTTTTGGAAGATAGGAAAGAGGTAAGAGGGAGGAGTTAGTGTTTGGAAATGGAATCCCCCTCCATAAAGACTTTAGGCAGCAAAGCCTTCTCTGGGGTTACTTCCCTTCTTTGTCTTTTAATGCTACAGTGACCAGCTTGAGAGTCACTGGACCCCTGTCTCAAAACAAATCTGTCCATAGAGGTCTGTTTCTGGCATCTCTCTAAGATTTCCCTGAAGTGGAACAGGGTTTTGTCTGAACATGTTGCAGATATGGCTTGTTTCAGCTTGGTCAGGGTGGTGTTTCTCTACAAAAGCTTGCACCCTTGTCCACATTGCACACACCTCTTTAATGTCACTTACTGCTACAGTACATTCATTACTAACCTTAAAATATTTGTAGGGCAAGAGGTGAGCAGTATTTATTTGTAGGAAGTCAGTGTAGGTAGCAGTAGATGTAGGTACAGTACATGTATGTAGCCCCCCCCCCCATCTACACTACACAGCTATACAGTGGACCCCCGGTTAACGATTTTAATCCGTGCAAGAGGGCTCATCGTTATGCGAAATAATCGTTATGCGAATGAATTTTCCCCATAAGAAATAATGGAAATAAAATTAATCCGTGCAAGACGCCCAAAAGTATGAAAAAAATTTTTTTTTACCACATGAAATGTTAATTTTAATACACACAAACTGAAAAAGGCATGCACAATTAAATGACACTTACTTTTATTGAAGATCTGGTAATGATTGATGGGATGGGAGGAGGGGAGAGAGTGTGTTAGTGTTTAGAAGGGGAATCCCCTTCCATTAGGACTTGAGGTAGTAAGTCCTTTTCTGGGGTTACTTCCCTTCTTCTTTTAATGCCACTAGGGCCAGCTTCAGAGTCACTGGACTTCTTTCGCACAAGATATCTGTCCATAGTGGCCTGTACCTCTCGTTCCTTTATCACTTCCCTAAAGTGTTTCACAACATTGTCAGTGTAATAATCACCAGCACGGCTTGCAATAGCTGTGTGAGGGTGATTTTCATCCATGAAGGTTTGCACTTCAAGCCACTTAGCACAGATTTCCTTTATCTTTGTAGTAGGCAACTCTTCAATTTCTCTCTTCCCCTCCTCTGAACCAGTTTCCTCAGGTCTGGCCTCTTGCTCTTGAAGTTGATCTATCAGCTCATCAGTGGTTAGTTCTTCATTGTCCTCCTCCACCAACTCTTCCACATCCTCTCCCACTAACCTCCAACCCAAGGACTTTCCCAATGCCACAATGGATTCCTCAACTGGCACAGGATTCTCAGGGTTAGCCTCAAACCCTTCAAAATCCCTTTTGTCTACACATTCTGGCCACAGTTTCTTCCAAGCAGAGTTCAAGGTCCTCTTAGTCACTTCCTCCCAAGCCTTACCTATAAGGTTTACACAATTGAGGATATTAAAGTGATCTCTCCAAAACTCTCTTAAGTCAGTTGAGTTTCTGAGGTCATTACAAAGCACCTTTCAAACAGAGCTTTTGTGTACAGTTTCTTGAAGTTGGAAATAACCTGCTGGTCCATGGGCTGCAGGAGAGGAGTGGTATTAGGAGGCAAAAACTTCACCTTAATGAAGCTCATGTCCCCATAAAGTCGCTCTGCCACGTCTGTAGGATGACCAGGGGCATTGTCTAACACCAGGAGGCACTTAAGTTCTAATTTCTTTTCAGTTAGGTAATTTTTCACATTGGGGGCAAATGCATGGTGTAACCAGTTATAGAAAAATTCCCTAGTGACCCATGCCTTACTGTTTGCCCTCCACAGCACACACAAATTATCCTTGAGGACATTCTTTTGCCTGAACGCTCTGGGAGTTTCAGAGTGATACACTAATAAAGGCTTCACTTTGCAATCACCAGTAGCATTGGCACACATCAACAAAGTAAGCCTGTCTTTCATAGGCTTATGTCCTGGGAGTGCCTTTTCCTCCTGAGTAATGTAGGTCCTGCTTGGCATTTTCTTCCAGAACAGGCCTGTTTCATCACAATTAAACACTTGTTCAGGTTTCAGTCCTTCAGTTTCTATGTACTCCTTGAATTCCTGCACATATTTTTCAGCCGCTTTGTGGTCCGAACTGGCAGCCTCACCATGCCTTATCACACTATGGATGCCACTACGCTTCTTAAATCTCTCAAACCAACCTTTGCTGGCCTTAAATTCACTCACATCATCACTAGTTGCAGGCATTTTTTTAATTAAATCCTCATGCAACTTCCTAGCCTTTTCACATATGATCGCTTGAGAGATGCTATCTCCTGCTATCTGTTTTTCATTTATCCACACCAATAAGAGTCTCTCAACATCTTCCATCACTTGCGATCTTTGTTTCGAAAACACAGTTGAACCTTTGGCAAGAACAGCTTCCTTGATTGTCTTTCTGGTGCCCACAATAGTAGCGATGGTTGATTGGGGTTTCTTGTACAGCTTGACTAGGTCGGCTATACGCACTCCACTTTCATACTTATCAATTATCTCTTTCTTCATCTCTATAGTAATTCTTACCTTTGAGGTGTAGGGTTGGCACTAGAAGCTTTCTTGGGGCCCATGGTCACTTATTTTCCAGAAACAGCACCGAAAATACTGTAATAATACGAAATATTCCGAGTGTATGCTTGGATGTTACCGCGGAGGCTGGCTGGTAAACAATGGGACGGGGCGGCACATGTGAGGCTGGCTGAGGGCACATTGGACGCGTCTCGGACGAAAATCGGTAAGCGGGTTTTTAATCGGTATGCGCGGCAAAAATTTTGCGATAAAAGTAATCGTTATGCGGAAAAATCGCTATGTGATGCCATCGTTATGCGGGGGTCCACTGTATTACAATACACAGCCATATTATCACACTTTTGAGCCATATTATTACCATGTTCACCGAGTTTAATCGTTTCTAACAACTACCTTTAGATGCCATAATAAATAAAGGGAGAGGTAATGAATAATTCATGCCAAGAATTGTAAACAAATGCATATGAAAGACGGTTACTGCACCAGTCGTCAGATTCACGGTTTTCTCTAACACTGCATCAGAGAAAACGAAATGTTTACTCTCCATCCCACTCTCCACTCGATAACATATAAACATTGCATGTTTATACACCATGTTTATATGCTACACGATATGTAACGTGTTTCTTATATAATTTTGAAGACAATATCATAAACGGATTAATGAAAATGTCTATAATAACGTAAAATAAGACATCTAATGTGTCAAAGAGTGATTATTAAATATACATCACATATAATAAACATTGCATGTTTATATGCTATGTAACAAGTTTCTTACATAATTTTGAAGAAGATATAATAGATGGATTAATGAAAATGTCTATATTAATGTATTAATATATTAATACTGTTGTATTCTGAGCACCTCTGCAAAAACAGTGATAATGTGTGAGTGTGGTGAAAGTGTTGAATGATGATGAAAGTATTTTCTTTTTGGGGATTTTCTTTCTTTTTTGGGTCACCCTGCCTCGGTAGGAGACGACCGACTTGTTGAAAAAAAAAAAAAAAGACATTTAATGTACCAGTGATTATTATTAAATATACATTGCATATAAACATTGCATGTTTTCATATACTATGTAACATGTTTCTTTGGGCCCGTGGTTACTTATTTTGCAGTTGTACTCGATCAGTAACCGCAAAAAACAATGGATTATAGCAAAATGTTTGGATGAATGAGCAGAAGCCTCCTCACTTGCCCAGAGACAAAACCAAACTGACTTGCAAGCAGCCCCAGCCGGCGGGTGGATGCCTCCCAAATGGCTCATACCCGAATTAACGGCCGATAACTGGGCGCCGAAAAACCAGCCAATAACCGAGTTGGCCGATAACTGATCGGCCGATAACCGGGGGTCCACTGTATTAAACATTGTGTGATATATGTAATTGATAAATGCTTTACTGGTAGTTTGTAGTATACAAGATTTATTGTAGTTTGCAATAATTAGCAAGCATTATA